CTCAGAACAATCCAGAGATGAGTTGGTAACATCTCCACAGTCAGAGGGCTTGACAAGGGACAAGGCCTTGAACCCAGGCCTGGCTGACTCTTCCCAATACACAAGGCTGCTTTCCCACTAATTCATTAGGACGGGGAGATTTTTTTTTTTAATTGAGTCAATTTAAAGAAAAATACTAAAAAAAAGGAGAGAAGGTCCAATGACATGATGGAACCATGGTGGTTACACTTGAATGATGACAGACACAGAGGAATCATCCAGGAAGACTCAGAGTGAGCCCAGGAGGGAGCTGAAGCCAGGATTCAGGTTGCTGGGCTCCTCATCTCAGGCTCTCTCTGTCCCTGAGTGTGGACATCAGAAAGGAGATGCCTTCACAAAAATTTGCCTGGGGGCCCAGAGTTGATTTCATACCACTGAGCCCAGCACAAGATCAAATCAAAGCCTGAATAAGTGGGGAGACCATTTGTTACTCCAACTAGTGTCTACCTGTCACCAGCTGCGGCTAGGTGTGGACGTTCCTTGGGTGCCCTCCACGTCACCCTGAGCCAAGTCCCAGGGGCCCCTTCTGCAGCCGGCAGGCCTGGAAAGCAGGCAGTCCTGCCTGGGAAAGCCTGGAGCACAATGACTGAGCACAAAGAAAGGGCCAGACGGGGGACGCTGCAGCATTTGTCACTTCAAAACATGACAGATACGTTTCTTGATCTAGGACTACATTGAAAATCTGAACATATTTTTAGCTCAATGATGAAAACACAGGGGGAGCTTTTCATTGTTGGTTTTGTTTATGCCTCTTCTGAAAGGATTTAGCCTGTTGGCTGACATTCTCAACTTCTGCCCTTTTTTCCTCCCGGGCCAGCATATGACGATTGAGGGCTATATTCTGTCAGGCCAACTGATGGGAGTTTAGAAAAAAAGAGATGAGGTGGGGTGTGTATGTGCACTCACACATGCACGTGTGCTTGCACACATGCTGGCATGTTTTAGAAAGGAGAGCACCTCAAGGTGATGAAGACCAGGCAGAGGAAGGCTTCTTGAGTGAATGAATGAATGAACAAATGAAAATGGCCAGCCCTGCAGTCTCCTCTGCACCCTGGTCTCAGACGGAGACATGTCTTTTCCCTAAAGTGGGTGACGGATGGCCCTTAGCATTTATCTCTATCATTGCTGTGCTCAGTAGCACCCTCTGACCATGTCCCTCTTCTAGAAAACATTACAAGAAAAAAAGTGAGGCTTACTGGATGATCGTTTCTCAACACTATTTGTTCCTCAGTCATCAGTGGTCATGGCTCCAGGACCAGGAGATGAGAGGAAGTTGTGTAACCAGGCGCAGTGACTAGAAAGTGCCCAAAAGAAACCCCTAGAAACTAAGCATGGGGTTTGAGGTCCACTGTGCCCTTAGCAGCTAGGTGGCTGCTCCCCTGGCTGGCTGCAAGCATGCCCCTTTGCATTGTGACTTGGCAAGTAGCTCCCATCAGGAGCTTATGTTTACTTCTCCAGGCCTCAGCTTGTGGGCTTGGCTGTGTGACTTGCTTTGGCCAATGACCTATGTGCAAGTATGACACAAGCAGAGGCTCAAAAAGTGCTGGCACACTCGGTGTTTACCGCTTTGGGCTCTTTTTTTAATTGGCTGAGAAACCGTAGCCATGTCAGTGGTCCTACCTGAACTCAGCCCAAATTGCCAACCTACAAAATTATGAGCAAATAAAATAGGTGCTGTTTTAAGTCACTGGGATTTGACATAGTTTGTTACGCAGCAACTGAAAACTGCTGCAAAGGCCTTAGGCAGGGCACTTCTTTCTCAGTTTCTTCATAACACATATGAAGTACCTAACACAGTGTGAGACCACTCACTGAATGGCCACAGTTGTTACTATCCTTGTTTCACAATAAAGAAAATGAGGTCCAGATGTTAACTGACCTGGCTGAGCTGGTCGGTGATGCAGCAAGACATGGAACCCAGATCGGTCTGTAATCAGTTTGTTCTGCTGGCATCCTACGCTGCCGCCCGTGCTGAGAATCCTCTTCCTCCTCCTCTCTTCCCCTTTGCTGCTTTCTTTCATTCTTACCCCTCCTAAGGCTCCAGTTCAAAATTCATCCTTGATCATAGCAGCCCACCTGGAGCCATCACTTTTCTCAACCCTCGATCTCTCTTGTAGGAACACACTCTCCCTCTCGTGTCTTCACTCAGTAAATAGGTATGGATCACCTACTATGTGCCAGCTCTGCCATAAGTTCTGGGCACACGATGGAGAACCCGGGATAGCACTCACAGGACTCATGCATGGATGGTGCCCCCCTCGGAGCCCACATATCCAGCACACACGCCGCTCTGTCTTGGGCTGTTCAATCACCACGTCACGTACTTTACTCTTGTCTCCCTACCCAGATTTGAAACTGGTGAGCAAAACCACTTTTATTCATTTATTCATACATCCTTCCCTCCTCTGCTTCAGCAGGCGCCCTGGGAACACTGGGGATGTAAAAGACACTTCAAAGATGAACTCTTGAAATGTTCACAGCCGGCCGCTGTGCCTCTTGCAGTGCTGGCTCCACAGCAAGCAGCCCCAAATGCTCAAATTTAAATGATTTCTGGGCAACTATTGAAGACTCAGTGTGCCGTCAATAAATGACTTGGGGGGTGTGCTGCTGGCACTCTGAGGCTCCTTCCTCTATGGGTGGCTACAGGAGACAGCTAGGGAGATGATGGCCCTCCCTCCACCACCAGCTCTGAGACCATCTCCTGTCTGCCATGGGCATAGCAAGCAGGGCCAGACCTGCACCATTTCTGTACAGCTGCCCTGCCCCGTGGCCATCAGAGGCAAGTGTGTGTGGAACACCTGCTGGATTCAGGGAACTGTGCTGGGCGCCAGTACCATCTTCCCAATCTCTGCCTGCTTCATCCAATTTACAACCTGGCAGATCTGTTGATCACAGGGGAGACTGACAGGTGACGTGACTTGCCAGAGACCAAACACTGGGTTCAGAGCCTCTGGGCATTAAGTGCAGTGTTACTGACCAAGATCTGGCTCTAGGGTGACTACATGCCAGCTGGGGACACAAGGATAACATGATAGATTTTTTTCAAACTGCTATAAGAATTCAAAGCCCAGAGGTAACAGCTTTCAAAAGGTGGAGTTTGGTCTGGGTTTGAAAAATGAGTAGAACACACATATGCAGAGAAAGAAAGAGGACAGTTGTAAGCAGGGGAGCTGCAGAGGTAAAGGAGCAGAGCAGGGAAGTATGTGGGGTATGCAGAGGGCGTCAAGAAGAGGAGCCCAGCTGGAGCCCAGAGGAAAGGTTAGAGACCTGGGTGAGAGTGGGGAGGCCCTTGGCACCAGGACCCAGGTGTTAAAATGCCACAGAGGAAAGTGATCCAATCAAGGCAGTGCCTGAGAAACATAAAAAGGACCTAGATTGGGGAATGTTGGTCCAGCCAAGTCCTCTGCAGAATTCTGAGTAAGGAAAGCCCCACTGGAGACCAGCCTTGTACCTTTATTACCACCCATCCCCAACCAGAAATGCACAACAGCCTGTTTCACACTCGCCAGGGAGGCAGAAATGATGATGATGATAACACAAGAACTTCTGATACGCCATGGCTTCTTGTCCTTTGATCTACACGTGCTTTACATACCTGGTCTCCTTCAACTCCCATGCAGTCTGCAAGAAGTAGGTGTTGTTATGTCTGTTTAACAACTGAATTTGAAGCCAGGTCTCTGGCTTTCGGGTCTGTGCTTTAAACCACTGGGTGAGTCTCCCCCACAATGCTCAGCTGACTCAGTCGCTTGAGAAACAGCAATTCTTCCTTTCCCCTAATGAGGACCCAGCTAAAAACTGTCCAAGGCTCAGGATGCACTCCTTAACTTGAAATAATTGAAATGTGAGTTTCAACTCTTACAGATTAAACTCTAGGAGCTCTTGCCTCCATTTTACTGAGTGGGAGACTGAGGCCCAGAATCTGAGGCAGGAATTACAATGTGAGGTCCAGGCTCTCGGGCAAAAGCTCTTGGCCCCTAAGAAATGCACTACCTGCTGGCCAAGGAGGACGTGAACACAGAAGGATAATAACACCAAAGAGAGGAGTCTTCTTGCAGCCTGCTCTTCTTTCCCTTCCTTGAATATAGTTTTAGCAGCAGAATCCCCACTTTTAATGAGAGACTTTATAAGGCACCCTGCCATATTTAAAAGACAGCAGCTTTTTTCTACCCTGTCTTTGTGGGTGAAGGGTCTGGAGTCTGCCTCACCCCACTCCCCTAGGTTGTCCCTGAGGCTCACCACATTCCTCCATAATGAAGCCCAAGGGCTCTCGAGGCACAATCAGTAAACTCCTGCATCATAACTTGGTGTGCCTGCATTCCACATTCAAGGACCCTCTTGGGTTCTAATATCCATCCCAAGTCCAGTTAGATTTTGCCGCCATGCAGGTAGCAAGGTCAGTTCTGGGCCAAGTTGTAATGTACTTAAATCATTCCTTGGAGATGACAAGACATGCTCACCCCCTTCACCTCATCTGATACTCAGAACAGTGCTCCATTTTGCAGATGAGAATACTGAAACTCAGCTGAGCTACATATATGCCTAAATTTTCATCACTAATAGGGAGCAGACCTCAACTTCAACTTCAGCCCATTGCACCTGACTCCAAACCCACATCCCTGCCTCGGGAGGTTTTGTGTCCATGCTGTCCCCACCTTGACCCTGCATCTCCTGCTTTGGTAGGTACCACATTCTCACAGCTGGCAGGTCATGCAAACCTCTTGTGAACTTACACAAACCAAACATGCTCAAGGCCCCATCCCACATATATAGAGTCAGAAGCCAGGGTTGTAAACCATTACATCCCACCACGATGACCCCTTATCACTCAGGCAATAAGACACAGCAAAAACATCCAAGATCATCCCAGGTCTCTGGTTAGATTCCAGGTCTCTGGTTTGCTCCTGGTGCTGAAGGAAGAGGACTCAATCTCAAGCCCACAGCAGAGCCTGAGCAGGACTTACTGTGTAGAGCTCATTGGTGACCTTCAGGAGCTCCTCATGCATCTGCAGGCCAATCTCCTTGCTCTGGAATATGGAAAAACAAATGTCAGAGGGGGAGAAGGTCACTGGTTGCATTGACCAGTGTCCTTTTCAACACAGAAAGGGCAGGAATACTTGGGATGGGGTGGGAATGGGTACAGAAATCAATGTAAACATTATTGGTCTAGACTTGAATTCCTTAACTTGTGTCCATGAAACCAAACCACAGGGAGAGGTACCCTGTAAAAGGAATCCCCTGGCCAAATAAGTTGGGGAACCTTATACCTCCCTGCATTGGTGATTCTCAGAGACATCACCATGTTAAAGATTCTCAGAAGCCCACAGCCAATCCACCTGTTCATCTTTCTTTAATTTTGTGGGTGGATCCTAAGCTGATGTGACCAGAGTATGTGTCCCTAGCTCAAAACTCATTAGCACCTCATGACAGTGGGGTTCCATAGAACACAGTTTGAGAAATAATGATCTAGCATCTCCATTCATTGTGAACAGTAGAGGTTAACAGACAACCAACTGGAGCATGAGGCAGGAGACCAAGGTGGTTACCTCCACTGGAGGTTTTCTTACTACAGGTCTTTTCAGAGGCTTTCATACCCTCACAAACATGGGTTTTCTAAGGAGCATTATAGTATACAGTTTAGATTATCTTAATCTTTTTTCCATGAGGTGACTTACATGTTTTAGTATATTCAGAGATACAATTCAGAAAACTATGAACAAATTATCTCTAGGTCCCACTCAGCCTGAAGAGTCTAGGATTCTCTGTTACTTAAGGTTTATTGTTATTATTATTACTATTATTATTATTATTTTGGTTAATACTCTCCCTGTTTGCCTGGACTATCATGTGAAGTCTCCATGTTGAAAATGGGAGCCCTCAAAATCAAACACAAGAAATAACATGTCTCAGCAAGGATGTGGAGAAAATAGAACCCCCTTGCACTGTTGGTGGGAATGAGAACTGGTGCAGCCACTGTGGGAAGCAGTATGGAGGTACCTTAAAAAATTAAAAATAGAATTATCATATGATTCAGTATTCTACTACTGGGTATTTACCCAAAGAAAATGAAACGACTAATTCTAAAAGGTATATGCACCCCTATGTTTATTGCAGCATTATTTACAATAGCCAAGATATGGAACCAGTCCAAGTGCCCACTGATAGATGAATGTATAAAGATGTGGTATATATGTGCAATGGAATATTACTCAGCCATCAAAAAGAACAAAATCTTGCCATTTGCAACATGGATGAGCCTAGAGTGTATAATGCTAAATGAAATAAGTCAGAGAGATAAATACCATATGATTTCACTCATATGTGGAATTTGAAAAACAAAACAAAGAAAAAAAAGAGACAACTCCCCAAAACAGACTCTTAAATACAGAGGACTGTTTTAAATAGACTCTTAAATACAGAGGACAAACTGGTGGTTGCCAGAGGGGAAGGGGCTGGTGGATGGGTGAAATAGGTGAAGGGGATTAAGAGTACACTTATCATGGTGACCACCATAGAACAGTTGAGTCTTTATTTGGTACACCTGAAACTAATATAACACTGTACATTAATTATACTTGAATTTTAAAAAAGGAAAGAAAATGGGAGTCCTGATCTCTGCTCTCTGAGAGCCAAGTCATCCTGGTCCCCCTTTTGGCTCCCTCAGCTCAAGCATGACCAGTGACTGATGGGAAAAGACCAACCTTCCGTCCTCCCCAACATAGGTCGGGAGCCCCTGGACTCAGCAGTAGCTGAGGAAGGCTCAGGGCCAGACACCATGCCTTCCTAGGCTCCTTTTCCTATCTTATAGCCTTTCTCTCAGCTTCTGATACAATAATTGCCAGAAATCAGTCATCTGAAGGTAGCCCTTGACTGCCTAAGATCTCTTTAAAAATAGCAAAAGCTCTAGGCAGTCTGCTTAGACCTCCCTGCAGCTCTGAGAGCTAAAGACAGGGGACGTGATCCAAAACCACAGCAGAGCCTGAGCAGAACATCCTGTGCGGAGCTCACAAGAGAAACTTCAGTCACATCCCATGCGTCTGCAGTGGTGCTCAGTGAACCCAACCAGCTATGCCCATCTCCTTCTATCTCTGATTCTCACAAAAAAGTGGACAGTCTGTGCCTCAGTTTCCCCCGTGGCCTCTCTCCCTGACTTTTGCCTCTCTGACTGGACTCTGGACTGACACCCTCCAGTGGCCTCGTCTCAGTCCTCAGTCTCACTAACCTCTCTGGCACTTGAGACCCAGTTTCTTATGCATTTATTTTTATGATCTAATTTTTTTGATAGGTAACAAATGCACATGGTTAAACTCTAACAGCCAGGAAGGTAAAATGTAAAAAGTAACTCTCCCGAGCTCCCAGAACCTCACCCAGAGGCTACACTATTAGAAGTTTCTTTTGATACAATGAATACAAAAACACACATTTGGGCAGCCGGGGGTGGCTCAGCAGTTTAGCACCACCTTCAGCCCAGGGCGTGACCCTGGAGACCTGGGATCGAGTCCCACATCAGGCTCCCCGTGAGAAGCCTGCTTCTCCCTCTGCCTGTGTTTCTGCCTCTCTTTCTCTCTGTGTCTCTCAAGAATAAATAAATAAAATCTTTAAAAACAAAAACACAAAAACACACATTTGAATAGCATATACTTTTTTTAACACAAATGAAAGTATTCTGTACATCTTTTCATCTTGATTTTTTCCACCTAACAATATATTTGAGATTTTTCCTTTGCGCCATGGAGCTCCTGCATCCTCCATTTTTTTAACAGCTGCTTAAGGTTCCATATACCAGATGTATCATAATTAATTAGATAGCAACAGACATTTAGGTTGTCTCCAGTCTCTTAACATTTCAGACAATGATGTGGTTGTACATTCTTGAACCCTGTCACTGTGCACATGAGCAGAGACCCCTGCCAGATAAATTCCTAGAAGCAGCTCTGCCAGGAGAGCCCACCAGCCTTGCCTTCACAGGCCCTGCCCCAGCCAGCTCCCCACACACTCCTGGCTCCAGCTTCCACTTCTCAGTGACCCACAGCATGTCACCATTTCTGTTGTCATCTCCTGGGCTCTGTCCTACAGTGCGTTGAGCCCAAGCTCAAAGACCTATAGCTTCGGCTGTTGCAAAACAATATAGTGTGAATGTCTCCTCATCACATCAAACTCAAATTATCCAAAATCAAATGTGAAATTTCCCCCAGCCCCTTGAGTTTGGTCAATTAGATAATATCATCCCCAGCATGGCAATGGGAAACCTTGGAGTCATTTAAAAAAAAAAAAATGTTTTAGTCCTTCCCCTTCTGTCACTGTGTCCTGCCCTCAAACTGCTCAATCTTGTTCTCTGGAGCAGGTAAGGCTGACTCCCTCCCCAATATCCATCCCCAAGACCCTTTCTGCTTCCTAAAAGAGCCATGAATTTGGCTCTGTGTTGATTCCTCCAGCTGAGCTCTTCCAGGGAAGCTGATCCATCTCGACTTGAGACGGTGGATTCTGTTATGTGCTATTAGTCCAGGGCTGAGCATGTGACTTAACTGGATGAAAGAGAAGGACTTAGATGGTTGAGAGAAGCTTTTAGTTTTTCTGCTAAGAGTTCCAGTTGCTAACAGCAGGCACCTTAGGACCAGAAGAGGAAGTAACCTTGGGTAGTAGAGCAAAACAAACCTGGCTGCTTCATGACCTGCTGAGAAACTGATTCAACTGAATCCAGAGCCTGCCTCCCAGTAAGCTTCCATTTCCGTGGCTTTGCTGTTTAAGCCACTTCAAGCTAGTTTTCTTTTACCTGCAGCCAAAATCATCCTAATCATCTGAGACCACCAGTCCCAGGACAAGCAGGACCAAAGCTTCTAAAGCTGTGCCTTAACTAAGTCCCTAACTCTGGTCCCCAATTCTGCATGCCTGTGCCAGTGTAATTCTGTGTTTTATTCCCTCCAGAGCCTCCTCAGTCCCTACAAGATGAAGACCCAGCTCTTCAGCTTAACTTTTGAGTTCTATGTGATTGGCACAGGCCTGGTTATACAGTAGAGAGGGCTGAATTTTGGAGCCAGAGACCAGGATTGGAGGTGGGGCTTTAAGCCATTAAAGCTTTGGACATCTCAGCTTCCACTGTGTATAAAATGAGTACCTCTTGGGCAGCCCTGGTGGCTCAGCGGTTTAGTGCGACTTCAGCCCAGGGTGTGATCCTGGAGACCCGGGATCAAGTCCCACATCGGGGTCCCTGCATGAAGTCTGCTTCTCCCTCTCCCTGTGTCTCTGCCTCGCTCTCTCTCTCTCTGTCTCTCATGAATAAATAAATAAAATCTAAAAAAAAAAGCAAAAAAAACGAGTACCTCTTTCTGTCCTTCTTTGCACTAAGGGAAGTATAATGACTTTGCTTATTTATATGTTAATTAATTGATCATTTTTTCCCCACTTGAATGTAAGCCCCATTAACACAAAGAGATTTTCTCTCTGATGGTAGATGCTCCGATATCCCAGCTGCTGGGAGGGCTATCAGCAGACTGCCTCCAGCCAAAAGCACCCTTCAGGATGGCCATGGTAGACAAGGTGACATCCCTTCCAAGGACTGACAGGTTCTGTCTGAAGACACGTGGGAGGAGGGGGGCCTAAGAGGTTGTCTTTTCCCCTCAATTGGGACAGCTCTAAAGGGCTGCTCCATCTTTAGAACTGCCCACAGAGCTGTCTAAGACTTCTAGCAAGGCTGCCTACAGCATGGCTTGACTTCACCCTGCCCCCCCCCCGCCCTCCCAAGGTGTGAACCCCCAAGAATGCTCCCTCACCATTCTGCTAGATGCTAACTGCAGCCATCTCAGAATCTGCTTCCTGGGTTTCCCACTCCTATGTCCCTGCAACGCCACAGAGCCTGTTGCATGGCAGGTGCTCATTAAATATGTTTGTTGAATGAGTCATGAATGAATGAGGTGAAAATTCCTCTAACCTTATCTGTAAAAGTAGGATGAGGTCATGAGTGTCACAGAGTCCTTGTGAGGATACAAAGAGATGACACATATGAAAGTACTTGGCACCATGCCAGGCA